GGGGGGGCTGGGCACCCATATGCCCAGGGGCCCCACGATAGCATCGTACTTCTTCGTTTGTGCGCAGTTATCGCCCATGTTGACGCCGCACGGTCCAGAGTTGTCAAAGCTATCTCACTGCCGGCGCACAATGGGCGCGGAAACAAAACAAAACAAACCAATGCGAGATACGGATCAGCAGGGGCCACAAACACACTCACCGCGGCTCCAGAACAGCCGGAGCCATAAAGAACAATGTTGCCAACGTGACGCTTTTGCCCATGGGAAGGGAAGCTTGCTGAGGGTACAAAGCTCAGGCCTCGTAAGGTCTGAGGGGAGATGGGGAAAGCAGCAGGTTACACACAGCGGTCAAACACCCCATGATCTTGAAGTAGCAAAAAGCAACAGAATCACAAGAATAATACTGTGACTGTAGGTGAGACAGTATCTATAAACCTGGATTTCTTAGGTTATATGAAAATCTGCTAAATAATGACTAATTTCTCATTTTACCTGCTTCTAATGAGCTTTAACCAACAAGTGATTACTTTACATTACCAATAACTGATTACTTTAAGAAGTTAATATTTTAATTGCAGAAGAAATGAAATAGGACTTTGATGTTGGATTTGTATTAAAAACTCTATATTTATAGCATGTTTTATTGTTTGTTAATGATAAGGAATAAAGGATACAAATAACTTACGTTAATAAAATTATACATTTGTTAAATGATATTTTATAAAGAGAAAACATACTGCATGAGTGTAAATATTGGTTAATAAAATATTTATCCCCTGGGTGCCAAATACAATATTACTACTGTATTGCAATATAATTAGATTAAATTAATGTTACAATGCTATCGGGTAAATAATTTTAGTCCAAACTATAATGCATTTTAAAATATTCACATACACTTTGAATCAATACTAAAAATAAATTTATTATTTATTCAGACTTACAAAACTTAGTATACTGCATTCTGATTGTTTTCAACAAGCCATAAATGTTTCATTTAAAAAAATATATAATTATACAAAATGACACTTTAGCTGTGAAGTTTTAGAAAGGGTTAGGAAAATACCATTTTTTTCTAGATTGTTGCCAATGTTTCAAAATACGCTTTTATGAAATATAACATATCTGTACAGTAGATGTGTTACAACTCAAAGTTTCATGTAACACAGAATTGTGTAACAAACCAACGAAATCCCTGGTGGCCCAATAGCACATAAATGTGATACGAATTGTGTTACATTCATTCTCAGGATCCCTCTCTAAATTCCCAGACCCAGGTATAACTGAATATCTATGTGGTCCCAGCTCAAAATCATTCACGCAAGCCACAGCAACTCATGTGACGGGCGGGGGGTGTATTTTTTAGTTGTTCAACAGCGACTCCACTGAAAACGGCAACGCAGACGGGACGCTCTTTTTCCCAGGGTCCGTTTCGGACCAGTATTGGGCCTGTTTCTCTGAACTGGGCTTTGCTGCAAAGTGGCGGGACTCAGAAGATCCACAGGGCCGTGAGGAGAGAGAACCATCCTGGAAGAGCAGCTCTGGCCTGCGGGGCAGCCGGCTGGCGATGGGTTCGAGCGCGGCGGTGCCACCAAAGCCACTCACGTTGATTTTTGGCACCAAAGAGTCAGCATGCAGACCTTCGAGGCTGCTGAAATAACCCTGGCAGACAGGTGGCGCCGGCAGCTCGTCCTCTGTGCAGCACTCCCAGGTTTCCAGCAGCCCCAACTCCACCCCACCGGGCGCTAAGCTACACGGGGCGGCCGGCGGCTCGTAGCTGCTCCCCGTCGCCCGGGCTTTGAAGATCTCTTCTGGGTGACAGTGAACCTTCAGAAGCAGGGGGCTGTTTTTGTGCATGGGGAGGTAGGCCAGCGACAGAGGCTCAGCCAAGGGGCAGCACTGGACGGCAGGGGCTGGAGGAAACGTGGGCTGGAGGAATTTAAGGCCGGACAGCTCCTCCAACTCCCTCTGCTGTAACTCCCGCTCGAGCATGATGCCCTCCAGCTCTCTGTCAGCAAACGCTCGCCTTTTCCTCATGCGGTCGCTGAGAGATTGGTAGTGCATTCTCCTTGGCCAGGTGGGGTCCTCCAAAATAGGCTTATACCCTGGGGGGGGGGAGGCAATAAATATTATTGTTACATTTTGCATGTTACTGACTGGATGGTGCAAGGAAGAATTCCTATGCATGAATGCACAAAAGGCAAATAAAAAATCCCAAACTGAGTAGAAAACAATGTATTGTCTTTGTACGTGCACGTATACAAGTAAATCATATGTAATCCAGCAAATTATTAATAAAGGTAATTTTTCCATACATGGTAAAATTTTATACATGGTAATAAAAACCTTGCTGCTTTATATATAAGAAAGTTTGACTTGAATCAATAAAGTTTATCCTATTTTGAAATATCATGGAAATGGGAAATTGCTATTTTTCTACATTCCTAAGTAGCAAAAATTCTATTGTACTATGTGTTATGTACTTTGCATACGAGGTCTGTACTTCATTTTGGAACCTAAGTGGACTGTATGGGTAACACAATCTCTGGATGAATGAGTATAAATTATTTATATGTTACCTTGCAAAATACAAGCTGTTATTAAATACCTAGAGGGATTAAGAATTACCCCTTGTTGATTTTGCTTTACCTTGCAAAATGCTGTTTGCCAGAAAGCTGGGTCTTTGGTACCGATGATACGCTGATTTTCTAAATGACAGAGATGATCTGCCGTCTTTTTTCCCCTGTAAAAGAAGAAAATGTAAAGGCCACGACAACCGCATGGCGGATTTTCAAAGATGTAAGAGACAGAGATCCGCCTACGGATCTCAATAGTGCGTTATTTTACTAAAGAAAAGTTAGTTATTTTATTATCGATCGATCCAGCACTACTTTCTAAAACCAAAGTAATTCACTATAAAAAGCAGATATTAAAACTGAAAAAGTTTAAATACACGTGATAATGTGGCAACTGATGTTTAACACTGAAATAACGCATTTTTTAAATGGAAGTATGTCTTTTAGCATCTTCATCAACGAGAGTAATGTAGCAGTACAGCAACTACATAAATAAGTGCGTATAAATAAAGTTTTTTTTTTTTTTTTGCTTTACTATAATCTATCATTTATCGTCACAATTATTTATTTTATGAATTGAACAACATGAAAACATAACGGTGCGGAGCCACCAGCGGGGAATGGTGGTCTTACCTCGGTCGCCTGCTGCCTCCTCAGGGCGACCTGCGCGGCCATGACCCGCTGTCTCTCCACCACCAGCACGCAGTTGGCGCAGTGACAGTCGCGCCAGCGGCAGAAGCGCTTGTGGCCCTTGAGGCCCGATACGACGCCGTGATTCCGGCACCGGGCGCACTTGGGGCTGCGGCTCAGCCTCCGCGGCTGCTGCTCCGGCGCCGGGCTGCCTCCCTTCTCGCTGCCGCCGTCCAATTCCGGACGCACAGATCCGTCGATGCTCTCCACGTCAATGTCCTCCTCATTGCTCTCGGATTTGACCACATCAAGCTTCATTGAATTTAAGTCTAACGCTACAGTGCACATATATAGGCCTAAGTTCTGCTAACTTTATCCCCTCTCCCTGCTTTAAGACATCACACTGGCCCACGTTTAAAGACGCGATTAAGTTTCATGCTGTATTTAAGGCGCAAAGAACTTGCGCAAAAGCAGAGGGGGAGCACTTTTTTTGCTTTGGCAACAACTGTAAACTGAAAAAAGTCACGCTTTATGCAACCTCTCACTGACAAATCGCCGAAGTGTCCAGGATCAGAGACACCGCCGAGCCCATGGTGAGCTGCTGTACCAGGAATGACTCGGAATGCATAGATACACGACATATACCGCCATCTGGCTGAAACGCATCGTCTCCTATTTCAGCCAGATTCCCTGACGTCATAGTCCAGGGCTTCTGACTGAGGGAAAACCCCCTTCTGCCCCCCGCCCGAAGCGCCGTTCAGCTATGCAACCAGACTGACTCCCCCATGTCAATATAAGTGGACTGTCAATTATAATTTTATTAATAACGGGTTCTTGGTGGCGTGCAGGTGGTCCGACAAAAATATGCTAGTTAGATAAACATAATGCCTACTTATTTAATTCGCATGTGTTTATACACGAGACAGTTTTCTTCAATGCTTCGTGCAAACCAACCTGTGAACCAGTGCTGATATATATGTCAAATTATCAAGGTTGAAACCGAATTGATTTTTGGTCAAATTTTCCACATTGAAAAATTGATGGTGGCAAAACCTTGATTCAATGTTGATATAAAGTGAAAGATTGAAGATCAACTTTGTTTCAACCTTTTTGTCTGATATGGAATCAGTGTCATTTCAACATATGTTTGCTATCTGCATGGGTAGGGTTTTGGAGCTGCACTATACTTCGTCTATTCTATGGTTCCGCTTAGAAAATAAAATATATATTTCGTTTTTTTTATTGTGACGTGGGTTGGCAGCACGTGGACGCGTATTTACATGGAGTGAAAATGACCACGCCCCTTAGACCCGCCCCCAACCAGTAACAAGTGCAGTATAATATCGGAATAAGAGTAATACAAAACACCTTCAGAATCATACAATAAATAACACCTGTGTTAGTTCAGTCACGAACTAAATCCACAAGTAATTGGTGCAGCTGATGGCAATGATGCCTAGCTTGTACGGGGTGGTGGGTTCCTGCACGCCGGCGTGGAGCACGCGCTTCTTGCGTCATACCGGTATTCCCCCGCAGTCCAAAGACAAACGGATGGATAAATTTGATTACTGTCGTTATGTTTTACTCGCACTGAAGCAGAAATGTATTAAAACTGTAACGAAATACCACATGGGCTCATTAAATGAATCTTACATACGATGTTATAATTAGCTAACTCGTTAAAGTAATGCTCATTTAAATGCTAGGGGCCCATGTCGGATTAATTGCGTATTATTTTAACCACATGATCCGAAAATTTGTTTAGGGAGCTCGTCCTATCATTGAAGCCGCGGTGAAAACGAGAACTACATTTCCCACCTCTTCATGACAGTGTCCTACATCCATAAGGATATTCATCACAGTTCATCGTTTTGTGCCGTAAAAAAGTGCATAGAGGCAAGCCCTTAAGATGGTTTGTAGGCTATATCTGCTTAAGTTTTATATTACCGTAATCTGTGCATGTTGATGGAAAAATGCTGAAACTTAACTTTAAATTTGAAAAGCTTTTGTTTAAGCAGGTTAATTTTCTGGTACACATTTCAAACCCCTTTTTTCTTTCATTGTACATAGGCCTATTTAGCAGATAGTTTTACCCAAAACAATGCACAAGAATGAAGGGTCAGATAGCGATAGCCCCTGGAGGAGTTAAGGGCCTCGCTAATCGGCCCGACGGTCTACGAACCCCTCATGAACGCCTATCCCAAAGAAGCTCAAACAAGCACCCATTCTGTGAATTTCAAAAGCCATAGGTTTCTTTGAGCAGTGTGAATTGCTCCTTCAGTTATCCTGACCATTGCCTCGTCACAGTTGTGTTTTCGGTGCATTGAAAGTGAAGCTCTTTGTCACTGCCGGGGGACCCTTTGTTCTCTTTCATGGGGTTTTCACACTTTATCACATTCCCAAAAACCTCTATAGGCTCCGATTATAATCTCTGGCCGAATAATCACAGGACCGTCGACACGTTGTCTTGACCCACCAACACTGCTGAATACAAAGAACTGAAGCTAAATGTATCTAAAACGGATGCAAATTCCAAATGAACAGTAATCATTAGAGACTTATTACTGCAAAGTAAATTTTCGTTGGCTGTCGTGAGATAAAGATAAAAGTTTGCTAAGAAGCTACGGCTGCATATTTTAGGGAATGCTTATGGAAAATGCAGTTGCTACCTGTCACAGTTCACGCATTTGTTGCAATTCATGATGTTTGCCAGGTTTGTCGCATATATATTATATTTCTTTCATAAATACGGGGTTGCAATTTTGCCGATTCCAGCATCAATTACAACGCGGGTGTTATCAGCGTTTAACAGCGATTGTATACTACTGACGCGGGCACATTTCGCGAAGTTTCCCACAGCAGAAACAGGCGCCTTCTTTTCGTATACAATGATTAAAACTTAGATAAGAACCCACCAGTGTGTCTGAGACCATCATGTCCAAAGGGCCCTTAGCGGAGATTTCAAATGTGATTGTAACACAATAATTAGGGTTGCAGGTGTTAAAAATTCTAGCTAGTTTTGGTGATTTTTTAAAATAACAATTAATGTCAAACCTCCTTCGAAACGAAATACATTTAATTCGCTCTTCGAAAAATGATGTCAAAGTTCGCTTATAAATGTTTATAAACAGTGGTTGTAGGCCTATAGAAAATAGATGGATGGATTAATTAATTAGACCCAGGGGTGTAGTTAGAGATGAATGGACAGGGGGACTGAGATTTAACTTTGGGGAGGGGGATGGCAAACTTATACAGTATATAATATGAATGATTTAGGCCAATGAATACATTGGGGGTGAGAGAGAAAACAGGCCAAACAACACCCCTGATTAGGCCTGTATTATTAGAACCGATATTATTGTTAGTAAGTGATTAAAAGTTTAAGTGATTAATAGTTGCTTTAATTTGCTATTATTTTGTGCTATGCAGTGCATAAAATTATATTTAAGTGGCTTTAGATGATTTTGAACAATAAGCTGGTAACTGCTGTTTTTCAGCTTTATGACTTGTGGCAAAGCCCAGTCTTTATTCAAAAGCATTTGGGTTTAGCATCCTTAACACTAAAGGGATTAAATTATGCTGCGGCCCTTATTTGAAGATTAAATGTCCAATGTAGCGCATCAAAGTAGTTATATAAAATTAGACCGTTTACTGCGGATAACCTTTAATAATGTTTAAAAATACATACTCGGCTATACGTGTCCATACTGGCATGCCAACAGTGCCACCTTGTGGTGACCCAAAGTAAATTTTAATAATTGTTCTACAAGAAAAAAAACTGACCTGAAGTTCTTAAAAATGAGCCTTCGTACTTCTTGGCTTTTTCTTGAAATAAGCCCGGTCTCTTTTATTTCAGATATTTGTGGTTTCATGATATAATCAAAAATAAATGATTTATTTGGGGACACCGGCTGAAAATGTATGACCATTTGAATGTTTTGGGTCGATCACTCCTATCGCCTGGTGGAAAAGCACTTGCAGCTTATTTTGCACTCGGATTGATTCATCCATCTCCAACCACGAAGAAAAAATGTGTACTTCGATCGTAGACTCCCTGGTGACGTGTACGCACTTCGTGCCATTTTAGTTTGATACGCAAATCACAATTCACATCTCATTCAGGATGTCTAAAAAGTTTCTTATTTGCGAATAGATAATATATATTCACATGTGGTGCATTCAGCTTTAGAATTCTGTATCAAGTTTGCTTTGCAATACTGCAAAACCCATTTCAAGAAATGGATTTTCAATGTGTATTTTAATGTACATTATCTCTGTTGGTGGTACCGTTCTTTACGCAGAGCAGGATTTAGTGCTGAGAATATCATTGGTCTACATACTTCATTATATCAAGATAATAATATTTTGTAAAGAACGTGAATATGTAATTATTATCAGTTTATCTTTCCTGTTGTTGCCAACTCTAAATCTAGCTATATGGCGCGTTCATTTAAGCAAATTTGACTATAGTAACTGGGTACCGGCAAGTGTGAGAAAAAAATAATACTGGCGCCATCTATTGGAATGTATAAGTGACACTCCTAGCCACACTGGGAAAAAATTGCTGTCTCTGTTATGTTTGTACTGTTGGGTATCAAAATGTTAATGTTCTTTCCATCAGTTTAGACGTCTTACCTTTTAATACACAAATCCAGTTCCTGATCTTAACTCAAAAATATTTTTATGGCACCCCACAATAACATGTAGATGTCAGTCACCTAACAAAACAAGGAGATGCTAACTAATGAGGGGTGTGTGTGTGTGTGTGTGTGTGTGTGTGGGGGGGGGGGGGGGGGGGCAAAAACAGGGGGGGGGGCCAAAGGGGCACTGGCCCCAGCTGAAATTTAATTGGCCCCCATTGTGCCCCCTCCGCTGTCACTCTCTGATTCAAAACACACCATTGCCTAATGATGAAGTTGCCCCATTTGTATGAATTATGGATTATCATTGTCCTAGAATCACCCCTGATTACACTGATTAGTGTCTGGTTAACTTAAGTACTTTGCAAAGATGTCACCTCAGCAGCTGTTTCAGGTGTGAAACACTCTAAAACTCTAGAAGTGAGGTCTGCTGGGACGCTCTCCGGCAGCCTCAGCGTCCCTCTGTGAGGGACGTCATCCCCACCACCCCAAGCCTGACTGTGCCCTCCGGGGGACAGAAGGAGCAGATGTTCGCCTGTTAATCCACACGGTTCTGCGCGTGAGCGTGCCGTCGCCCAGGGACTCACGGCACCCCCCTCTCCCCTCCGTCTGTCCTCCGTGGAACCGGACTGACAGGAGGAGCCGATTGAATTAAAGGTCAGATCCTGTCAACTGAAATGCCGCAAACTTGCTGAGCGAAACGTGCCTCCGTGACAACGGAGCACCTCCAGAATGTGAACCTTCTCCGTATTTACTGATGAAACTGGAGAAGAACTGCCAGCTCTCTGTGGTGGAGTAACAGCAGCACCATAAGTATGCTCTGAATTCCCCCATTGATGGCATTAATAATTACCTGTCAGCTCTAGTTCCTGGGAAGGTGTATTCTGATCATTCTTTAAATGCTCAATGATTGTCCAGTTTCTCCCAACACATTTTAATGTACCCCCCCCCCCCCCACCACTGGTCTTCAAGCCTACCAGTCACCTTCCTGATGATCTCTATGAGACTACGAGCAGAGTAGC